TAACTATTAATCTGTATTTTTAGTTATACATTGTATTTTTAGTTGAGCTGCATAAACGCAATATTTTAAATAAGAGTAGGAATATACATACAGTATAACAAAATAACAGTATAATATATATATATATATATATACAGTATAACATATGTTAAATATTTTTAGATTAGCAGTTGTTTTTTAAATTAATGTACATTCAATAATCTACCTTTTTCCCATCATTTCTATATCATATTCTCTTTCTCCTTTTAGAAAGAAATTTACTACAACCATCATATCAATGTATACCCATCCCACCCTCAAATGAAAACAAACATTTATAACCAATATTTTGGGAATGTGTCTATTATTTTATAGACTGCTTCCTGTTGTTTTGTGGGTGCTGGTGATGTTTGAGGGACTCTGGGAAAATCAGGATAATTGTTAAGTCTTGGCTGAAGTATTCTGTGAGACTGGATCATGTCAGTCAGCAGCCTTAAAGCTGTTCTGGAAGTAGAACTCAGAGGAATTGGCAACAGAGGCACTCTGAAATGTTGGATCATCTGGGCCACCTGTTCCCATCATATATTTTTCAGGGAGTTCTTTTTTCATCAACCTGTTTTTTTCTTAACCCAGAATGAATCCACAGCCTTTCATTTCCCATAGAAATCAAAGCAGAACCTCATTCTCAAAGTAACATATATTTTGACTTAAATTTTGAAGTAAAGATATTTTTAAAATAGATAGTTTGGCCTAATTTAGTAGCTTTTACAGTCAAATGTCTAAAGACTATAATTATCAACCTGTAGAGAGCACTTGTTGACTACTACATAGGGAAACCCCTCTCCCATCCTCCTCTCTTGTTTGTTTCTTCAGACAGAGTCTTTCAGTGTAGCCCTTGCTGTCCTAGAGATCCATCCAAGGGTTGGGGTAAAAGATGTGTGTCACCCTGCCTGGCCACCATCACTATTTTTATTATAACAGCATTTCTTTGTGAAATCTAAGTGATGCAAAGCTTTGTAACAAGCTGACCTAACCCAGCTCCCTTCTATTTGGTAATCCAACAGCACTGGAAATCAACCGTTCAGTGTCTGTCTTCCTTGCCTTTGAGTGCAGGAGAGAACACAGTTCCTTTCACTTTAGGGACAGATTGACTATTGGGTTTGATGATAATTAGGCATTGACTCTCCCTTCTTGCAGCCTAAAGTCACCTGTAAGTTCATTTACAAATGAAATCTCCAAACTCAGGTTCACACAAGTCAAACTGGCCTTTTGGGAAAGCAGTTGCTTAAGATGGTAGAACTCTACTTTGTTAACCTCGCATTGGACTACTGCAACCACATTCTTGGGTTACCTCAGAATTTTTCCACAGACTTCTGCAGGTTTAATTTTCTAGTCTCTACCATGGCTCTTCTAGAGCAGAATTCTTCCTGTCCTGTCTGTCTGAAGCCTTCCAGTTCATGAAGAGACTGAAAACCCCTAGTCAAGTCTTGATATGAAATGTATCATATTTGGTAAGATTTGTCTAAGTAGCATGAAGCCCCTTTGACTTATGCTAAATGAAATTAAACCATTCTGCAGTGGGATTGCCAAAGGGCAGATGTGATACCATCGAAAAGGCCCAAGGAATGGGCATAAAGATGAAGATGAGTGAGCCAGTGAGACCCAGTGAGCTCTGGGTCTGTGACTGGTTTGTCATCTAAGGGTTCAAGCAACCACTGACCAAAAATACCAGAAAATCAAGGGCATCTCTACTAAACACAAGCAGAATGAATACTTTTACATCATTTCTGTCATATTGAGATTTATAGACCGTTTACAAACAGGAAGCATGTCAGATGATATATAAAGGTTATGTACAAATACCATGCATTTCATATCTGAGACTTGAAAACTGTGGATTTTGGTATGCTGTGAAAAGTGGCTGGCACAGATACAAGTTGACAGCTATACTTCTATTCATGTTAAAGCCCTTACCTCAACACACGAACATCTTTCCTTCAATAGTTATGTAATTTTTTTTTTCTTTTTCAAAATCTCTAAATATTTAATCAGAGTCCTTGGTGTATGCTGTGTCTTTTACAGTTTCTCTAGCAAGTCCAACAGAAATTCAGGGTCCAGGCCGGGCAATGGTGGCACACGCCTTTAATCCCAGCACTAGGGAGGCAGAAGCAGGCGGATCTCTGTGAGTTCGAGACCAGCCTGGTCTACAGAGCTAGTTCCAGGACAGGCTCCAAAGCCACAGAGAAACCCTGNCCAAAAAAACAAAAAAAAAAAAAAAAAAAAAAAAAAGAAAAAAGAAAAAAAAAGAAATTCAGGGTCCAGCTGTCTTAAAGAAAAGGAAAAACTTCCAACTGGGGCCGGTAAGAGGAAACCTCAAGAGTTTACCCACAGCCATGCCCAACCAAACTTTGCAAACTTATTTAGCTTGATCTATTGGTTTCCTAGATCCTGTAAAGAATGTCTAAGTGATACCATCTGTAAAGCATATGACACCAACAGAAGGGTGCCTAATAACCAGAAAGCATTAATGTTCTTAGCATCTAAATTATTTGGAATCATCTGGTGTGGTTTGTGTTGACAAGCCTGCTATGTCTTCCGACAGCAGCGCCACGGTGGGAAGACCGTTTTCTCCGGCTTTTGCACCGCTCCTTGTCTTCCCCATCAAACTGTTACAAGATGGATTTATAACAGACCCAAAGGTAGTGGCAAAATGAAAATTAGTTCTCGGGTAGAATAGCAATCCCGTCCGACTCGCCTGTAGCAACTGCGTCATATCTGCTTCTACAGCAAGGAAATGACTTCTTAATGTGCTTTCCTTCCACTAAGAAGAATTAAATCTGTATGGCAAAATGGAAAACCAGTGTGCTGGCAGCCAAATTCTGAAAGGAAGATCCATGACCCTCATAAAGATATTTGTGGCCTCGTTCTATGCTAATGAGCCTCATTGAGGCCCAGACTTCCTTGGTGTGGAAATGCAGCCTTGCCGGAAAGCAAGGACGTCTTTCCCGTACTATTTTTGTCTTCCACAACAAAACTGCTCTAAGATAAATGTGGAAAGTCTCTGTGTTCTGCAGGCTGCTGGGGTGGGGTCTCTAGAGTAGGCTGAGAGTTTGAGGACCAAGACAATGAATATTATTTAGTTTAAAAGTTTTTATTTATTAGTAGTGTGTGTGTTTGTGAGAGAGAGTGTGTGAGTGTGTGTATGGATGTGTGTGTGTGTGTCTGTGTGGTGAGGGTTAGGTCTACATGCCACAGTATGTGTATGGAGGCCACAGGACAAATGTGTACAGTGATTCTCTCCCTTTCATTTTATCACGGTTTCTAGCAAGCAGCTTCTCCTGTTCATACCTGACCCATGGACCATGGAGGCCTTGCTGAACTCCCAAGGTTTTTTTTCAGAGCATCCCAGTTCCAAGTGGGCAGATACGCAGTAAAATGAAAGCAGTCACTATGGAATTGCCTGTTTGTATGGATTCTCCAAGACAAAGAACACTGGTTGGGCACAATGCTTGCACCCGGCCTTATCTACCTAGACAAGTAAATGATTTTCCTGAGTTCCCCTGTCCCCATTTCCTTCAGAGTAAATGGAGTTAAGTAGTGTGTCTTGTGGGAAGCTGTAAGGTTTGTGCAAAATATGAGCATGAAAGAAGCTGCTCTCCAAATCATAAATGTTGACCGTCAGTGACAGCGCTACACAGCCATCTATTTAAGCACCTGAACATGGACCACTACACTGTACATCTTGTGAGCAATTGGACGTTTAGCGCTCTGTGTGTGTGTGTGTGTGTGTGTGTGTCAGTCAGTCAATCAGTCTGTCTGTCTGTCTGTCTGTCTGTCTGTCTCTCTCTCTCTCTCTCTCACACACACACACACACACACACACAAAACCACAGAAATGGCATATTAGTAACAGAACTGAATTACAATAGGTGAGCAAGAGAGAGATTAAGCTCTACTAAAAACCTGCTCTCTGATAGAACAGACACATGGTTCACTCTATACAGCAATTTTAAACATGTCTTTGCTCATAAGTCTATATATATACATAAATATATGTGACTATGTATTACATATATATGTTTCTACATGGATAGAGAATTGTCTACAGAGGAACTGAACTGACTAAGACTACACTGTTAATTTCCTATGCTGTTTTCTCCTAGTTTCTGAAGTTGCAGATCCACTTCGATTCATAAACCTGCTACTTCTTAAATTAGAAAACAAACTGCGCATGGAAAATGGGTTCATGTGCAGTTTAGCCAGACCCAGGGAGAAAGACTCAGTTTCTCTCTACTTCCTTTGGAACAGAGTTATGGCTTTCTAGAAACACGAAAGAAAAGCCAGGACATGTGCAACTGTGACACGGTCAGCATGTGTGAAGTCTGGCTAACTCCTCCCCTGCAGGGCATCAGGACCTCAGTCTCCCTTCCCTAGCACAGGACTTCTGCGGAATTCTACTTTGTTACGAGTCTACTCTTTACAGTAGCCTGATAGCCAAAGGGAAGGGACTTGAGTTTCTAACCCCAGAGTTTCTTCCGGTCTGAATGCTTACAATTCCTTGGAGCTCATAAAAGACAGCTAAAGCCAGAGATACTGATAGATAGGCTGCAGGCCAGAGGGGAAAACTGAGCATGGGCAGAGACAACTTCAGTCAGGGTTGTCAATGACTAAATGGCGCTGATAAGCACCAGAAAACGAAGGGGTGTTGAATAGCGGGATGCTGCCTCTAGCAGCCTCCTGTTTTATGCAGCCTTATTCTGTCGCAGGCCCTTGCTCATCAGGCAAGCATGAAGCAGCAGCCACCCCAGTGCAGCCGAATCTTGCGATTTTATTAGAGAAGCAAGAAATGTCAATTCTTACGTGAAACTCTTTATTTTCAAAATTGGGCAATTAGCGTAATTAAGATACACCTCCAGGCCTCTAATTTGCGAGTTATTTTCACTCTCTCTCCTTTCCCCAACACTATTAAAGATGATCTCAGGGATTCTTTCATGAGCCTATTTTATTCTTTTCCTCCAAAGCTCCAGAAACATGACAAAGAACAAGAGGACTCCCCAGCCTTCTGGAGATCTGAGGAGGAGATGGCTGCAGAAGCTGAGGTGCTGCGTGTCTACTTTCAGGTAAACATCACGTCCTTCACCTTCAGCCAGGCCTCCTCACAGGCCTCAGGGAAGGAAAGATGAAGAAAAGTAACAGCACCGATGTCTCCCCGATGGGGACTACAAAGGACAGAGAAGCTGTGTAGAGACAGTCTCGAGCCATGTGGGATTTTATGTCCCCTCTTGCCACTGTAGGAATGGAGAGGGGCCTGGAGAAGAAGTCCTCAGCTTTCCAGGTTCTTGTGTCCTGAAACAAAGAATTGGCCAGGGGTCTATGGTGACTAGTAAAGATAGAGGTAGTTTATTAATAAAGAGAGCACTCCTGAGTGTGCAGATGAGCCAACAGTTGGGGAGGCGACAGGCTCTGATGGGCTCAGCCAGGAGAGTGGCGAGCCTTTTATGGGCCACCTGGGTAATATCAACCTCTCTGGCCTGTGCAGTTGTTCACATAACTCTCACGATTGTACATTGTTATAATTGGTTTATTCCATTGTTGACCTCTCCCTATACTTTATAAATCACCTTTATCATGTGTATAGAATAAAGTATATAGTTTGGGGGACACTGGGAGATTTTGAACAGACTCCCCTGCAGGTTAAAAGAAAACCCGCTGTACACTGCTTTGATATTAAATGCAAGGAAGCTCAAAGACATTTGCATTAATTGGCCATTCTAGTCCCAGCCTTACTTTTCAAATGCATGAATTACTTGATGACCCAGAGTGCTGTCCCTGCTGGCGTCATGTTGCCAGTGCTCGAAGTCTCAAACTAGAAAGAGCACACTGAGGACTCTTTCCAAGTGTGTCCAGGTTTTTGTCACCATCACAACGAATCCAGAGATAGGACAATGTAAGGCATTAACAGAAACAACCCACATAAAGTGAAGTGTAGGCTGTAGACAGGAGATTTGAGAACGTTTGTTGGATGAGCGAGTTTGAATACAAGGAAGGATTATTTCAAGAGTTAAGGGAGGAAGTTCAGGAACCAGTGTTTATACTTTTTATTTATCTTCCTTTGTAATTTTTGGATGCGTCATAGAGGCAGATACAAGCAAGCCATTTTTAAACTAGTGCCAGCATAGTCGTGAAGCACAGGTTGTTTGGTGTCTCCAGTAGGCCATGTTGTTGCTCTCGGCCATTATGATAGCCTTGCACCACCCTACAAGTGATGCGGGCTTTCTCTATACCTCTCCAGCTCAGTGCAAGCAGGCCACCGCAGCCAAGCACTGCAAAGCTCAGTTTGTTCCGCCAAATGTGTGTCAAGTCTGTGTCCCTTCGCCTGATGGAGTACAGAGAAGCCACCGGTCATAGTTTGCTTTTAACCTTTACCACCGTTCACCTTCTCCTCTGTCTGAAGAGATAGGATTGATAATGAACACTGGCCTATGGGCATGACCAAACACGGTTTTCTGTTCAATTCCTCTTCAGAAGTCTAGTGTGTCACTTTGGAATGCCCTGTAGAAATGAGGGTACCACATCTTCAGGCACACTTGATTAGAGTGAAATTGTTTTTCTGAGCTTCCTATACAATGGGTGTTTTCAGGTAGAGGTAAGAAAACTCTAGGCTTTGGCGGAGGCCTTTGTGGAATCGTAAGGGTCTACCTCAGAAGAGGTTATCTGCATACATTAAGATTTTGACTTTTAACTCGATGCTTACATGCTTCTGCCTTGAGTCCCGAATTTGCCTGCCTTCTGAGCAAATTTATTTAACTAGTGGGTCTTATCAGAAAGACATCTGTCCTAGGCAGTGATACAAACATCGTTGGGCACCAGGCCTATTCATTGTTTTAATTAACTAAAGCTTGCATTTTTCTTTAATGGGCTCTGGTTACAGACTAAATAACTGACCTGTTCAGCAGCCTGATGTGAGGACTGAGACTAGAAAAAGACATGGTAGCCACTGCTCCTAATGTGATGAAGGGTCCTTAAAATTTATCAAGAGCATCACCACTAGGTGCGGTACAAAGAGACTAAATTTACTCCCTCTGTACATCTGGTCCTTAGGTTGTCCCTTTAGTAATTTGATACTAGACCCTCCATTTTCAACTTCCATCTTTATAGCAAACTTGCATGTAGTGTTATCTAGACTAATAATGCAACATTTAGATTTACCCGGGCTTAAAGAAAATACCTTTTGCTTATGTGAAATTAAGATGAACGTGACTTTCCCAGACTTTTCTAATAATACTGACAACAGCATATCCACCTTGGGCAGGATGAGTTGAAAGACTTGGTTTGTTGCTGCTTTTCAAAATCTTGAAATTTTTCAAGAGGCATAGCCAGAGATAGGATGGGGACCCGGGAGGAATTATAATCATCAGTTGTTTCTGAGAAGACACAAAGAAAAAATATCCTATTATAAAACCCAAGTTCGGCCATGTTATTTTTTTTTCTGTGCTCCGTGGTTAAAAAGGACAATATTCACAATGCCAACACAATGACTCGACCCATCCGCGTCATTATTCCTTGTCACACTGCTCACCTTTCCTGCCACTTCATATTTCCCTCCCCAGCTCCTATGTCGCCCCTCAAGCAGTCCTTCTCTACCCTTTGTAGCCTGTCTAGTGTCCTTGGAAAAAGGACTTTCTCCTCTGCTGCCCGATTCCTTTGTTTCCCAGCACCTGGTTCCCTACCACCCTGGATGAGGTAGTAGGAATTAAAACGAGCCCCGGTTGGTTTCATAACTGACTCTGCTCTACTTGTAGATTTGTTCAGCTGTGCTGATTCCTACTAGGCTGCCCTCCTTCCTGGTTTCTCTATCATCTGACCATGTGCCCAAGTGGTATGAGTGTTCGCCTAAGCTCATTCCTCCCTTCCTTGCCCTATAAATTTCTCTGCTCTTTGTGGACCCTGTAGGGAACTGCTCACTTACCGTTTCTGTGATTCGATTTTTGTGTTGCTGTACATGTATCTTAAGCTGGGTAGTCTTGGCCTCAATGTCAAAGAGAACACTGCTTCTAATTAGAAGTCTAAGCATAAATAGGAAGGAGATGCGGTGCTTCTGAAATGCCAGCTCGCTGTAGTTGTTCACCTACAACTACCAGGACTGAGCTCCGTTCTATCTTCTAGAAAGAAAGGCCAGTTGCTCCTTGGCTTAAATGCTGTCACTAGATTGAGACCCTGCGACTCCCTACTTGATCTATTTAGAAATATTGTAACAAAATAATCTCTGAGACATTTAATATGATTGCCACCTCTGAGAAATCAACAGCGATGATCAGAATTCAAGAGTAAAATGACCCCAGACCTACCCCTCCCAGTGGGGAAGATGAGAACTATGGAAGAAAATCAAACTCATCCCTTAGCCACTTCGTTGTACAAGGATACAAGAAAACCTGCTGCATCTCAGGCTATTAGGTCTATGCAGAATCGCTACTTCGCCTAGGAGACTGGCTCCTGCTTGCTAAGAGTCTGTGTTCGCTTTTAAAGAATTTCAGAGAAGAATGCGAACACCTATGGCGGAGACACCCTGTATCTGTAGACAGAGGAGTGTTGCTGGCAGTGAACAGCCCTGTGTGTAGAGTTGTCTTATAAAGTAGAAACCACACTCCGTGTTTTCTCTCTGCACACACTCTCAGCACACAAGAGCTGTTGGGACCCACACAGTTAAAATTTAACCCAAGCTACACATGCATGCTCAGCCTTTGGCAGTCATCGAGGCAACAACATTAGAGGAATTTTCCATCTCCTCCCCTATGCCTCTGCAAGGCAGATGGCGATTTAGCCTCCTTCTTTATCTCTTTGTCCAACCAGAAGGCAACTCGGTCAGAATTTCTCAGGCAATCATAAAAAGCAGGCTCTGCTTTTGCTGTACCACTGAAGTTAGGAGTTCACTGGTTGCTGGGTGACGCTATAGCTGTCTCAATGCCTGTCAGCCAGCTCACTGATGAGGCTGAACTCCTTTGGTTCCTGGAATTCAGTGCCTCCTCTCTGCCTGGATGAATTTATACATTGCTTCCCTGCACACTGAGCTGATTTCCGGGATGGATTTCGCCGTGTGACAGTTGGATCTGCATCTCTTTAACCTTGCCTCCTTTCTGGAGTGTGATGATTCTCTCTGTAGATATTTAACACTTGGATTTGCTGCCTTTCTAATTTTAATTCAGCAACATGTGTACCAGTGGCGGAATGATGCTGTCATCTCCCCCTCCCCGCCGGAACTGGGGGATCTCTGCTGGAAGATATGTAAACATCACCTCTCAGCTTTGATGAGACGTCAAAGCAGGACAGGTTCCCACACTGTGTTGTGTTCAGCGGGATCATGTCCAATTCATCACACTCTCCTCTGTGTGTGTCTTGACTTCATAGATAATTGGTTGCCGCTCATTTACTTATAACAGCGCAGTGCAATTTCAAAGCAACCGAGTCTGCCCCAAACAACATTATTAGTAGTTACAGATGTACAGTCAAGGGAGATTTGGGCACCAGCAATTTTTAAAAGCCGCTATAATTTCAGCCGATGGACAATCGGTGATAGTCATGGACAGACGGTCAAGGCTGACAAGATGCAACAAGTCTGCCTGTTGGTTCCATGCTCCAGTCTGCAAATGACGCCTCTTAAAACCTACCCCACCAGCCACAGAGAGGGTCTGCCCTTCGCACAAACAGCTTTCAGTGAGAAAGACTCAAGGGATTCATGAAAGAAATTTGGGGAGAAGAGGCAGCCTTGCGCTGGAGCTTGAGGGATTTAGCCTGGACCACATGAGCAGGAAGCCTCATTAACAATAGTGAAATTGTCTGCCCGTCCTCCTTCAATCAGCCCCTAATTGATATGACCACACATTTTCTTTAGCATGGTAAGAGATGATGCTCCCCTTAAGATTAAATATGTGAATATGAATACATTTGAGTATGTTCATCTTTACTCTGCCAGAAACAGACACGGTTGGTGATTTAACAGACGCAAGAAAAGAGAATTTTTACTTTTTCTTCCTAGTCCTTGCTTCTTTTGGATCGTGGAGCCCTCTATGCCCTTCTCCTTGTGTTACATTTCTCAAATGTCCTTTCTATTGCAAGGTCATAA